TTACCTCATATTGTAACTTTTGCTTTCCAGGTGGCATACCAATTTGCTCGTGAATGAGTGCTTTCATAGTCGCTACAGTATCGCTTATTTGTAAGGTAATATTCAATGTCTGTCCATTTAATTTCCATTCGGCCTTCTCCGTCATCATAGGTACAGCAATGTTAATTTGTACGGGATCCTAAAAAAAAGATTATATATTTTTTTAAAAGTTCATCACTTAAACTTTTCGATAAATTAATGAAAATTAATCTTTTCACCTTATTTCTAGCAAGGAATTGTTGCTCCGGAATTAATGAGTCTTCGGTTCTCAATTTCTTAGCCTGTGGCTCTTCTTCCAGCGGTTTACTAGTAGGATGTTTTAATCCAATCTTCAAAAAAAGAAAAAAAATAAAATTAATTAACCCTCCGCTATGATGCGACTACCGGCTTCTATTTTACAGAGCTCATGCGCTGTTTAACAGAGAAAGAAATTTCATGATATATTCATGATTATTGACTTCTTTTTACCCATTTTGTTATATTGATTAGATCATTAGATGAAATATGAACAAAACAGCATTGGGTCGCATCCGATCCTACATTTCTGGATATTTAAAAAATTTAGTACAAGAGAGTTAAAATACAATAATTCATGCAATTGTATTTTATTCCAAATTACTTACAGCAGAATTCATCGGCGGCTGTATTGGCGGTGGAGTTGGCATAAACGGTGACATTGCTGGAGCTGTCACAGATTTATTTCATTAAGATTAGCTTTATATATATATATATATATACGATAAAATATTTGTCAAGATATATGAAAAAATTTCGTACTCATTAGAGGTGGTGGTCTGGGTGCCATAGGTGGCATAGGTGCCATCATCATCATCGGTGGTTGCGGCATCATCGGCTGAGGTATACCCATAGTAGGCATACTCATCGTTGGCGGTGGAGGAGGTTGAGCAGGTACCGGTATAGGCTTCGGTGCAGGTGGCTTTGGAGGTGCTTTCAATGTAGCTTGAGGTTTTGAAGCAGCAGCAGCCATATGGGAGAGTTCGGTCGCACGATTAACCGGTTTCGGACCAATCTTCTCTTTCTCCTCATCAGGCAAAAGACCCTTAACCTTATGAATTTGATGAATCTGTTCTTCCAATGTAATGTTAGCTCGCGCGGCTCTTGTTGCTGCTTCCACACTCGAAGTATGACCGTCCCATGTGACTTTATCATCCTTCTTTTTATCTTCTTCACCAATTTTCTTTCCAATCGCAGTTTCTTCGTCACCAACACCGAAAATATCAGTACGTCTCTCGGCGAGTTGTTTGAGACTTGCCTCGATTGCTGTGCCTGGCGCGAATACGGTCTCCTGTGCCAGTTTATCTAGATGTTTGTCTCTCTGCTCGACCCAGCGTGGATCCAACAATCCGATACGCATATGTTCTTGCACCTTACTAGCAGGAATACGTTCGCCAGTAATAGGCGAAATCAAGTATTCATCCGGAGCCGCGGGACGAGTAGTTTTGGTCGCTATTAAGAAAAATATTGAGAGTAAAACCTTGATATATTGGATTAACCAAAAATTCTAACAAATAATTAGAGGAGAATATGCTTACCATGTTGTTTCGGATCATATCCTTTCTTGACTACCACATTTCCTGGTGTCGGCGGTAACGGAGGCGGTTGCATGTTTGTTTCTCGTGGTTTGGGTTCTTTAGATTTGTGAGTATCACCTGGTGGAGACACATCATCCTCATCACTAGAATCTTCCTCCATATCTTGTACCTGAAATATTAAGTCATAGTATAATACAAATATTTACATTAAAATGAATTCATATAGTATACGATAATGAAATAAACTGACTTGATTATTATCTTTTGCACGATCTTTCTCGCTTTCTACACGGGTCTGCGTTTCCTCTTCTGCGTCACTATCAATCTGCATCTCCACATCCTCACCATCTTCTATGCGCTCCTACAAATATTTTTAATTCATACATTTAACTAACAATTGCCATATAATTCAGCATTTTAAATCTTAACCAACAAAGTAAAAATTTTAATAATACAGAAAGCCATGATCAAACCTGCATAAGGACGCGTGCGCCGACTTCATCCGGTGTTGTAGGCGCTGGGAAATTACCGACTTCAAATTGTTGATAGTCTACAGTTTCAACCACAACAAAATCATGCCAATCAATTTGCGCATAAGCCACTCTTTCTCTTTCTAATTCCTCCTCCTCCTTACGTCTCTGTGCCTCCTGATATTTTAAATATTCAGCACGGTATTTCACCTGCTCCAAAATCTTATCCATATTGAGTGCTTCATCCTTGAGACGGGGCAACAAATCTTTCGGTGGAATCAATACCTATAGAAAACGTATTAAATTAAAAATTTTGTAATTAAATAAGAGAAATTCCTGTATTCAATCAAAGCGGCTCCATCTTAGTGCTTAAGTTTTCTATGTGAATTCATATACATATCTGATTCTACAAATTGTACACTGAAATTTTTTTTGGAAATTTTGGCTCTATAAATAATAAAGTCACATTAATTTTAAAACAGGATTATTCATATTCGTTTACCTTGGTGTACTGCTCTAAAAGTTTAGTAAAGTACTGAAATAAGGAATGCTGAGGCCGCAGGAAATCAAACTGGAAATTTCTTTGCTCGCGATTCATTAAATTGGTCAGAAATTGTCTCCCGTTACGTGCAACAAATTGAGCGGTTAGTTTCACAATGTCTCTGAAAAATAAAAGTTATACTTAATTTAATGTAAAACATAAAATATTAATTATCTATATATAAAAATTATTACATACAGATCCAAAGCAGATATAGAAGGAGGATCTGCAATAAATTCAAACTCAGTTGGTGGATCCTTAGGTATAAACGGTTGTTCGACTTGTTTCAGGATTTCCTGCTGCTTTTGATGTGCAGTGAGATTGATAGTTTTCCCAGGAACCGAACCAATCATAGGTTCCTGACCTTTTCCTTCCTTAAACTCTTTCACTTTGTGCTGATAGTAAGCATGATAAGGATCACCGAAGTTTAAGAAATTGAATTTTGGATTGCCTAATTCGTTCTGTCTGATCCTGGATTCGAATTCTGGCCCATTCCTGGCCACAAAGCTGGCGGTTTTGTCAACAATATCTGAATTTCTATATAAGGAAAAACAAAAGATACATCAAACAATATCACAGTTAGCCAGTGTCTTACGGGAGTCATACAAAATACACTTATCTGTATATCTTGTATTATTTCTAATTTTATTATCGTTTTCTATATATTCTTTTACAAAATACACTTTCCACATCATTTTCCATCCAACCCTGTAATGATTATTAGTAAAACATAGTTTCCATATTTCGATGATGTTTTTGGCAAAGGATACTCCTAACCTCAGGTGGTGGATAAATAATGCCCACAATCGGTTGTGACGAAGGAACATTGTTCTCCTCGTTTTCGGTGGCTGGCGGCTGCGGTATCGCAAGTTCTTGCGTAGGCATTTTGCTTGTGATCGATGTATTTACAGCAATAAATACATCATCAAATAGAATTATTCTCACACCACCAAATCGAATTTCTACGAATTACAAATTGCTGATGCTTGGAAATAGGATTACAGGAATTGCCATGATGGATTCTCATTTCTCAATTCTCACCTTATTTTGAAACACCTCCATATAATTAGGATATTGAACTACGTAGCCAAAGTCTACGATTCTGTAGGTAATGTCTACAACTTCGTGGTTCTGTTTCGTGCTACGTCCACGATTTTGTGGTTCTCTTTCGTGCTATCTGAAAGGGACAATATCGTTAGTATGTATTATACATTTTTTATGTAGTTTGTAGATATTTTTCTGATAAATATTTATGTTTTACGTGAGCGATCGACATTTTTCTTACTTGTATAATATTTCACTAATTCTGCATAAATTTTTTTCTTTTCTTCTTACATTATATATGTATACGTCGTATTATTATATACAATGATAAGAAAAGGAGCCATGTTGCTTTTTGCAAGATGACCGAAGATGACATAAAATTAGCAAAGTTAAATGTAAAAATAATAAAATCTATATTTTAGATTATCACAAAATTACAACTTTTTTCTCTACACTTATTATTTCTGTCGATAATCAAACCCGGACAATAGAACATTAAAATCAGAATTTTAAATAAAAATCGAGTATTATTTAGTGTTACATATTATACACTTATTATGTACAAAATTTATAAATCATGGAATTAATATTATATTATCAATTTTTTATCCTTGATCACATAAATTTTAAGTTTCAGTGAACAGCTTTAAAGGGACGCGAACTCTCGTAAGAATGTCGATCTTTACGGTTATCGCAGACAAAATTTCTGTAACAGAAACCTTGAGACGTAAACTAAAGTCGATGAGCCATTCAGGATATTACTTGAACTCTACGTAATCTAACGGAAATAGAAGGAGCAGTAAATTTATCCGTAAGACAAATTTCAACCGGTTGTATGTTTGTACATGACAAACCAAACACGATGAGCGATGAGCGGCGAGTGATCTCCAATGAAACCTCTGCTTTTTCTCACATGACGATGTAAAACAGAATTCTCATTGGATACCGTTCGTCGCTCGTCGTTCATTGTGTCCAGTGTGCAGCAGGCATAGTTGGTGAGCGGTGGCGCCCTCGGACGGCCACCTCCGCCGGCTACCCGCTACGGTCGGCCATAATGCTCCGTCGCAGCGGTCGCAGACAGTCGCAGATGGCTACGTGAACGTACAACAACCGGTTCCGGAGTATAGTCGCAATCGATGTAATCGTGCTGCATATTGTCATTGTCGATTTTTACATTTATTCGTATCTCTTCTCGTGTTGTATCGTGGGTGTCGCGCGTTGTGACATTCTCGCTGTTTTTCTCTTGTTCGCGATCTCGCGTCTTCTCGTTGCAACTTGCAACTGCCTCTCCCCGTTGTTCCGTTGTTCCGGTACACATATCTGCTGGCCGCATTCTAACCCGATCTCGGGGAAGTCGCCGAAGATGAGCGCGAACAATATGCAGGCGCTCTTTGCGTGCTCCCGGTGCTTCTCCAGGCATCCCTTCGAGGACCTTTCACCCGGACAACAGTTGTGCAAGGTACGTGCACCGCGTGCTATATCTGTCCTTCGCGAGCGTCTGTTCACGAGGGTTCCTTGTTCTCTCGAATCAACGCGAAGAATTCGCGGCATTGAAAAAATTCTAGAAGACTCCTTATATCAAATTGAAATTGTTGCGGATATGACGATTTATCACGTGGTTTATTTAAAAGCGAAGTTTTTCTCTTTTTTTCGGTAACATTTTCGTCGCGTTTGAAAAACGTGAATTTTGTATAAATATATTGTGTATGTACGTATATAACTGAAAAGAAATTTCAGGTACGATTCAGTAGGCTATTGTATTCTTTACGTTTGGATATTTTTAGTTCTTTTGTTACGTTGTTCTGTGAAACGTGGTTATTTGCGAAAACATACTGTTTGAATTAGGAAATTTAACACAAATAAGCGAAAAATTCGATCAAAGCGAATCTTTATGCCTAATAATATTTTATATGAATTTTACAATTTCCATTTCAAATAAACTGAAACAGATTCGAATTTCTAAGATGATATTATTTGCAATCATGGAAATTATACTGGAATTGATAAATGTTCAGTATGACGCCGCATACTCTGATTTTCTTGCAATTTTGTAAATTTTCACGTAGAATATTTTCCAAAAAGGAATATTATCGCTCAAATCTCGTTCTTTTATTTAATTTCAAAGTTTTTTGATGTCAGCAAGTTGGAAAATGATAATTTAATAATGTTTTACAACTGCGCCTGCTCATTAATATTGTCATTTATTAATTAAAAATCAATTAACATCAGTTCAATATCAGTTTAGTTATAAATGAACGTAGCCGCGTTTATAGTTATAGTGTGTACTTTAAAGAAATGTTAGATTTAAACTTTAATTTCCATAAAAAGAATTAAAAAGACAAATTTTGAATTATGAACTTTCTACTATAATTTAAATTATATAAGAAAATTTGTATTTGTTGTTTAGATATGTAGATACATTTTGGATCACGAATTATTCTTTATTATAATTTAAATTATATAATAAAATTTGTGCTTTTAATTAATTTTTAGGAATTCATTTGTTGATTAAATTTTTATTTTCCAACTTACCGACATCATAAAACTTTGAAATAATAAAAAAAAATAAGACTAGAGCGACAATTTTGCTTCTCGGAATATATTTTACGCATGAAAATACATAAATTTACAAAATTACAGGAAAATCGGATAGCGTCATACTGAACATTTATCCTGGTATTTTGTGTACTCTGAAAAATTCTAGGAAAACCCCTAAAATTTCAGGACTGGCCTGGAATTTATTATACTTTCTAAAAAAGAAGCATAAAAAAAGGTAGATATAATATAAAGAAAAATTGTGCTTGCAGGATATAAGTCCTTTCTTAAAGATGCAATAAGTTACCAATAGAAAACTTGGATTTAATGTCTAAAATAGAAAATAATAGAAAAATCGTTTATGTTGATGGAATGTTTGTTTGAATGTTTATTTATAAAGTTATAAATAATATTGTTTCAAATGTGTTAGCATTTTAATTCATTCGTTTGGAATCCTAACTTGAATACAAAGCATATAATATTGCGCGAATCGATGAAAATTAATTAAATAATAAAAATTAATCAATGGATAAATCCTCAAAAAATCAGGATTTTTACCTGAAATTATCCTTAAATTGACTAGCCAGATTTCGCTGGACATCATGACAATAAATTCTTTAGTCACAATATGGAAAGGAAAGAGCTACAAGCCAATAATAATTATATTTAGTCAATAAATAAACGTTTCTACTTTTAACGAGGTCATTTTCAATGTTAATTGTTAATTTTAATTTTAATTTGTGAAAAAATTATCCGTAACCGCAGTAACATTAAATTATTTGTCAATTTGTGATATTCCAGTTAATTTAATTATAATAGTTCAGTTGATTGATTTGTGGAAATTGTAAAATTTACACAAAATGTGATAGACATCAAAATCCGTTTTGATCGAATATGATCTTACATATTTGTATTGAACATTTTTCGGTCGATTTTCATTTAATATTGTTTAAAAAATTTAAGATACTTATAAGGCTTGAAAATAAATTTTTAGATTATTCTGTTAATTTTCTTATAAATTATTATCAATATTATTTTGTTTGAATATTTCTTTATACTGTAAATAAGTGCAAATTGTAAAAGCTAGCAAAGATATTGTTAAAAGAATATGAAAAATTAACCCTGCATATAAACCGTGGGTCTTTCAAGGAATAGTCAAAATTTTAACAGTCAAAGTTTCCCTATGTATTTTGCTAAATAAACAATATAATATCTGAGTTTAAAAGTGTTTAGAATTTGAGAAGTAGAGATATAAAACAATAAAAGAAATTTTTTTGTCGATTTTGCACAATTGATTTATTAGAAGAAATATGATGTTAGTATACATGACTCACGGTTCACAAGACGTTGGTGAAAAACAACGGTTCATCCATAGGGTTAAAATAGAAATATTTGATAAATTAGCAATATTATATTCCCCCCTAGTAATATTTAAGAAAAAAAATTGTTCATATAGGAATGCAGAGGAGCCTTTCCCGTAGTAAAATGTACATACTGTAGATCAGAATTCCAGCAAACCATGTAAGTGTAAAAACAAATCATTTTTGTTCTTAAGAATAAAAATTGTTAATAAAATGGAATAAATATTATTGTATTGCTTCAATTACTTCCACAGAAAGGGTAACACGAGCACCATATGTAAAAAATGTGAGCAAAATGTAAAATCCTATGGCAAGCCATCGGCTTGCGAATACTGCAATACCATTGCTGCGTTTATCGGTAGCAAATGCCAACGGTGTACAAATTCGGAAAAACGCTATGGACCGCCAGTTACATGCGAGCAATGCAAGCAGAAGTGTGCCTTTGATAGACAGGACGAAGATAAGAAGGTAACGCAAAGACAGTGTGCTGCAAAGACAATATACTCCTGACTTTCAATATTCGAAAGGGACCATTTCTAACTGTATAATATATATATATATGTGTGTGTGTATATATATATATATATATATATTTTTATAAACCAGATTTTATATTGAAATCTATTATCTTCTTCTTATATCGTTTTTCATTTTTTTTTTCTTATATGCGTTGAAACAACTCACTCCTACTCCTCTGAAAATACATATAAATACATGACTTACACTTCCTAAATCTCGCATACTATGAATTACTGTAATGTGTGATTACATTTTTATTCTTATTTTTTAGATTTTAGAGTTTAATGCTCGAAGTATTCTTTAAATAATAAATATGTTCCATGAAAAGATTACGTATAAGACAAAATATGTGATAAATTTTTAGTGAATTGTATAAAAATACACATATTCCTTCATAAAAGACTATGAATACAACACTTTGTATGATCCTTCTTCTGAATAATCGATAGTAGCTGTGTATCTTGATTTGCTACAATATTTACATTTTCCGAGTCCATATATTTGACTTCCTGTCACGACTTCTTTTCTTTTTTTAGAGAGCGAATAAGCATCAAGTATAATTTCTACAACTAAGACCTTGCTCTCTTGTTGGTACATGGTAATGAATTTTTCTCTATCGCAATGCTACTTAATCGGTTACGGTGATGTTTTGGTTTTTAGGTTGATGGCAAGTTGTTATGTTGGCTGTGTACTCTGTCGTATAAACGAGCGTTGGCGAGGACAAAGCAATCAAACGCAGAAAGAAGAGCACATATGAAATTGGCGCAACAGCGGGCTGCGAAGCACAAAGAACAAAAGTAATTATCCAAATTTGTAATATCACAAGATGATTCTGTGCTCGGTAGCTTTAATATTGTGTGTACACCACAATTTCTTGAAACATGTTTCATGTGAGGTGTAATATTAAACACACGTTTTAAATTGTATTCGAATTTCTCAATTACACGTCTTACATTTTTCTTACAGACTGAAAGGCCACAATAAAAGACCACACAGAGTCGATGTAACAAAGCTGCCGCCACAGTCAGAAGGTGGAGACACAAATGGTCCTATTCCTGTGAAAGCAGCAAGGATGGCCGGCGTGCACGATCCTCACGATCCGAATAGTTCAGATCACGTGGTAGCGGTTACACAACTCAAAGAGAAGATAGCGAATCTACAAAAGCAAATCAGCATAAAAGAGAGCCAATTATTAGCAAAAGATAGACAAGTGAGTAGATTTTCCGGAAATTTTTTGGTAACGATAAAACAGACACGTACATGACTGACATTTTGATTACAGATCACTGAACTCAAGGCAAAAAACTTTACGTCCGAAACGGAACTTCGCAATAAGATGAAAGCATCGGAGAAAGAGTATGAGACAAAAATCTCTAACATGCAGCACAAGATATCTAGTTTATTGAAAGAAGTAGCATCATTATCGAAAACGTCCAAGCGAGGTGATAGGGTAGCTGCTACCAAGACGGAAGCTGGGACCAACAGTGGGAGTGGAACAGACAGCCCCATACCTTGATAAAGTAGGTATATTTGATTTCCATCGTCGTCTTCAGGATATTCGCATTTTAATAACATATTAAACAAAATCGCAATAGCGGTTTACGAAATACGATATATGAATGAAATTTCGTCATCTGATATCGTTTATAAATGAAAAGTTTTTTTTTCCGTATTGTTTCCAGAGAATTGGTTAGCTGTGACAACATACTCAAATGATTGTACCCGTGTAAATCATGTGATTATGGATATAGTTAATTGTTTTCATTAACAAGGCAAAATTGTATTATTTTTCTAATTACTATATAGGAATGTATATTATTCTCTCAATACGCATCCAAAAAAGATCGTACTAGTATCTCCGTTTAGGGGAGATTGATTACGCGAGTGTAAAATTTATACATGATAATTTAAAGATACACTGTTAAAAATATGAAATTTCATATACTTTTAAGTTAGACAAGTTGAATTTAATGAATAACTTTTCGTAAAATTTTATGAAATTTAATGTATTTTTTGTAAAATTTTATAAAATTTGTACTTTTCATAAAATTTTATAAAATTTGTACTTTTCATAAAATTTTATAAAATTTAATGTACTTTCCATAAAATTGCATTGTGGATTTGCTGAAATTTAATGCACATATTCATTACATTTAAATGTAATTTAATTTTCAGTTAAATCATTTCATTACTTTTTAGTTACTTTATAACAGCAAGCTTTCTTTACATGTTACTTTAATTTATAATGAAATTTCTAACAGTGTAGTTTTCTTCCTTTTTACTTTTCGGCGACTACCAGTTTTGTGCGATTTGTTCGCCGAAGGTATCGATTTTTATATAGCAAAAGACTAGCGAAATTTAAATAATACAAATTAAATCTTTCTTTTTGCCATAAAGTAATGCAAATTTAATGTGGAAACTTTGAGGCAAACTCGGATTGATTGTAGACTTATGTGGAAACAATAAGTGACAGCTGTGGCATTTTATTATTTATGATGATGTAAATGATAACTGAATCAGGATACAATGATCTGTATCAATTTACAATAAAAGCTGAAAAACTTATTGTCCTATGGTTCCATATATCCAGTTGATGTCCATATTCACGTCGTTCGTTATTTTTTCCCCTTCGTGTATGATCGTTATTGAACGTGATTTCTGTGTCACTTCAAGCATCGTTATAATGATATCGAATTTTATATAACAAGATATGTAGGTATGGTAGTGATATGTGCATATAAATATCCACCAGCCATATATTTATTCTTTATTTTAAGAAACAAATGCTAATTGAGCATTACCTATTCAATAATTATAATGATAATAAATGCGTAACAATTTCACTATATATATATATATATATATATTTATATATGTATACGAAGTGTAAGGATAATTAACATTTAATTTATAGTCGTTTAAATACGTACGAGCGCGTGCACGCGTACGCGCGCGTGTGCGTGCACGGTACAGTTGGATCGTTATCGTTTAATTATTACGAGATGATAAGAACTAAATATTGCTTGTTTGTTTTCGAGGCGATTAGTCGCTCTCGCTTGTCGCTTCCTCTCGTTATTTCACTACTTTCAGCGTATGTATTTACATGGTCTTCACCGTTTGCCTTTTTACGCGCTGTGCCGTGTGCTACTCCCTTTCCTCCCATTCTCGACGTCTCGTTATTAGCTTTTCAAAATCCTAAGCGCCTAGGTTTCTCCTCTAGCTCCGTTTTAACTTCGTTATTTGTAATAGTGTTCTCAAAATACAGGCAAGGCGGGGAATCGAGACAGTATACAGAATGACATTCGGTCGTGAAGAATATCACCAGGAACCGCGACCAATATCACCAAAGGAATTTTCATTATTGCTTGCAATGCGATATTATTGTGTAACTAGTTTCGAATAAAAATGTTTCCTAGATTCTGCTTCGTCTTTTGTGCTTTCAGTGTCACTCTATAAGATGGGACGCCTTACAGACTGACATCGAGAACACGAGCACAAATTCCTCGTACAACATTCGAGGAGTTCCTGGAGCGTAATCTCTAACATACTATCGCTATAGCATACCTCACGTTGTACAAATACTTTTTCATTACTCGACATTCCGTAGAATGCCTGCGAGTCGTCCACATTGCCTGGTTATTAAAGGGTATCAGCAAATCAATGTAAAGGCCTTGTGAATCTACGATACATTGTTTGCGAGTCCAGTTTGAACGCTCGTTAAACTTATTACGGTATAATTGCCGGGACAGTCGAGAAAGGACTTTTCGTTCAACGGTGCCCGGCGGGCAGGTAGTGAATAATATGAGGGTAATTTTCGGAGTATGGAGAAACGAGGGTCATCAGTTTCGTAAAGATCTCGCACGCGAGCACCGCGGTTTCGGCATAAGGGTGAATGGTGAATATGGGTGATCGCGTATTCCCGCTACGTCCTGAAAGGATTCAGCTAAAAACGGATTTCTTTGGATTCAAAATTGTTTAGCGTCGCAACGTCGGACGCGAGGAGGAGATTTTTGCGGAACCGAAGCCTCGAAGGATTTTGCGAAGGAAGCCGAAATTTAGAAACGATGATGTAACACACTCCTGCATTCTTGAAAATCGCACACTCTCTCGCTCTCTCGCACTCTCTTTCACTCTCTTTCGCTCTTTTTCCCTTTCTCTCTCGCTTCGCACGGAATCGTATCGCGATGCACGTTACTCTTTAAAATCTCACAAACGCTCGATAGCCATGTGTATATCAGTCTGCGATACGTCCTTTAGATTAATATCTTTACAGAACGACGACTCGGAGGTTCTCGATCTCGTTTTAAAAATTCTTATCGTTCGTTTAAAAATTCGTATCGTATTGTTAAAAAATTCTCTCGTTCCCATGCTTTGCGTCGACGAAACCCTAGAGTCGTCCCTCAGTAAGAAGTGAATTGTTTCGCACCAACGTACGGTAAGCTGCGCTTAGAATTAACTCGTTCGACCTAGCTTAGCATTAATGGAAGTTATGAACTCGCTGAATTTACATAAAATTAATGGAAGCTGCGAGAAAGAAGAATAGCATTTTCGACGATTTTTATTAATTCTAACTTTTACTTTCTGTGCTATGTATAGGAAGCACAATGTGATCGAAGAATCGATTCGCGCACGCAATATTTGATAATCGTTGCCGCGAAGATTTTATTCGACTTCGAAATACATATTTTTCTTAAGAAACGTCGTAATTGCACTAGTATTTTTTTCAAGACATTTTGACTAGATTTACTATCATAATTTCTGATTTATTACAGACGATTGTCCTCCCCACCTTCAAATTTTGATCATTTAAAGCTACAAATATCTTCATCGAAACGTACGATGAAAATATAAAGAAATATTTTTTTTTTTGCGATCAAAACTTATAATTTATTCAAAATATATTTTTCTTTAAATTAATGGACGTTAAAGAAAGATTCAGCATAGCTGAAATAAATAGAAACATGCTCAAGCATGGATGCTAATAAGACAGTAACATTATAAATACGTATATAATATAATATTTATGGAGAACCGAAAAAATATGCAAATAATAAGCGCGATTAAAAATTTTAGTGCACAATTCACATATATTATAACTTTTATCGCGATTAAAATCCAAAAAGAGCAAATCGTTATCGTAATTACACTATGATCCACTATACGAAATTCTCGACGTAAAATTTTGATAAATATTACCGATCTCGTTATCGTAAATCTAGAATTTCTTAGAAATGCTAAAAGAAAAGGACACTTTTAAAGTGCTAACAAAGTTGTGTGCCGATCGTGTTCAAAACACGAATCGCACGAGTATAATAGAAGCGCACGTCGACAGTTTCAACGTCTTTTTACACACGCGTCAATAAATTAATATCATTAATGAAATCTCTAATATAAAATTTACTTCGCAAAAGTTAACGTAAAGCGCAGTCTACCGTCCGCCAACCAATGACGACGGTATGCACGCATGTATGTGCGTATACACGCAAGTACACATACGCATATACATGTGTACACACGGATGTATATACACATATATAGGTATATATATTTATATGTATAAAGGTATTCATAAATTAGAGCTCCTTATATTACTTCTTTTTAAATTATCGAATAAGAAATAATAATAATATTAATATATATACAGGTACAGGTCTCGTATAGTTGCAGTCGTGTCGTCACTAATTGTTCGAGTCTTCTTGTTGTTGCTCCTTGTTATTGAGCATTCGCTATTACGCGAACGTTAATTATGACGGGTGCCGACAAAATCCGCCATTTTACACACGGGCCTACAATTTTAACACGTCGAAGACCGCACAAAATTTCGTTTTAAAATTTATACCTTTATAAGTAATACATTTAAAGTTAGTTTTTGCAATGTAATTAACGCCGTGATCATTGCGAGCTTCTGAAAGTATACATGTAGTAAAATCTTGCTAAATTATAGTTAAAAAAAATGAATTATTTTTTAGAACCTGAATAAACCTGAAGTATTTTCCAATGGATTTTTGTTCGCCGAAAACGAATCCGGCTGCGGATTGGCCTAATACGTCAGGTTTCCAAGAAAATTAAGATTAAATGTACCAAAATTGGAATTTTTAATCATATTTTTGCGGCCAAAGTAAATTTTTTTTTTCAATTTTGTTTGTGCCACTTTAAAGTGCTATCTTTTATTTATATTCAAGTCATTGAAAATTCATTGTATCATCATGGTGTGTCTTCGACGTGCAATTTCAAAATGCATCGTGGAAGAGTAATTGAGAAACCCGATTTTGGTACCGTTGCTTATGCGACTGTTCTTCCTATTTCTCCTGAAATGGCAGTATTACGATCTTATCAAGCAATTAAACCTAATTATTTCAAACACCATTCTCCCTTTCGTTGATAACGCTACGATAGAAAAAATATAGAAACGAGTATTTACAAGGATAATTTACAAGGAAGGAACTTTATGCGTGTTTCTAGACAGAACTTCGTTAGCTTTTCTAGAAAAAATCCATCTTCCCTTTTTTCACATCGTCTTCGATATTAAAACAACAAGTTCAAAATATCCGCTAAAAAATTAGGCGGTTGTTGATTAATCGATTAAACTTCTATTGTACAATTAACAATAATCGATCATTTTATGGATTAATTAATAATTTCTCATTATTTTGAGAAATTATTTATTAATCGTCTCAAATTTTGATGAAATATGATCGAAGAAAAATAAACCAAATTAAATAATTAAAGCCTAGAATATTTTTTTAATTTCTAATATCATTCAAGCTTTGCTTTCAAAGTTATTGTAATACAATTCAACATCGAAATTATAACAATTAATAATAATAAAAATAATGAAAAACAAAATAAATAAAATTTTTAAATATATTATTTCATATTATTTTAATATTATGTATTTTTGATTTCCAGGATATACAATTATAGAAAAAGAATTTAA